ACTAATAGAATCGCCACTAGGGGATCAGCAAATTTCAACTGCAAGGTGGCACAGCGCAAAACCACTTTCGATCAGTTGTCCTTCTCTGTAAAAGGGATCCATTGTAGGAATTCCCTACCAACAGAAATAAAAACACAAAGGAATCTGAAAACATTTAATGAAAAGGTGAAACACTTGCTGAAACAAAACCAAATCTGTGATCACTGACCATTTCATTTACTCTGCAGAGACTAAAGAGGCTTTTAATGCGCCGTTAATGGAAAGTGAAGGTTTTTCGACCAGCGCTTTTCTGTGTAACTGCACACAGCCTGGATGAGCTCATTTCTGTTAATGAAGCAAAATGCAGATTACAGACTGCTGAAGTTCTGAAGGTATGAATGGAAAATGTAGAGAAATTAAAAGTACATTAGATGAACCCACCCCTGCTGCAGACATCATCACTGCTGCCTTCAGCTGAAGTAACAGCAGCACAAAGAAAAGTCTGTAATATTGAGGCACTTTGCTGCTCCGGCTTCCAGCAACTTCTTTTCTTCTCCCTCAACATTTCTACAGGCTACATTCTGTCCGCGACTGATGTGGACTGTGAGTGATTGACTGGTCTCTTAGTAAACCGCCTCCTATATGAGCCAGCTCCGAAATCGCCTGAGCCAGGAAGGCAATGCAGATAAAACTTTACATTAGGAAAGGGGGGGCGGGGGGGCAAACATAGATTTTGAAATGAAACATGTATGATGGCTCCTACATGTATCAGGTGATCAACCTCACCACAAATCCACACAGGTTAATTTCAGCGCCTCTGATAAAGGTGGAGCAGAGAGGACAGACACAGAGCTACAGCTGGATCATCTTATTCTCTGCTAATGTGCAGGACAATAAATAATAATCATCTCTCTCTCTGTCCCGCGCGTGTAACGTTAGTTAAGCGAGTAAAGTTAAATTTTCAGCCTTTTGTTGTTTGTTTTTTAGAAATCCTTCTGAGATCCGGGGCTTTTCAAAAAACATCCGGGGCTACGCCGCTGCGGCTAACCGACCGAGCTAACCAGCCACAGATACAGGCAGATAGGCTACAGGTAGCATTTAGCAAAAAGTGAAGCTAACTATCAAGTTCTCATGTCCATCAGAAGCTCTGTGTAGATCATCTAAATACTGGATTCCCTGTTGGTCCTGTTCATGCCGTGTTCACTGCGAAGCTGCTGAGCGAGGTTTCGTTTCCGGCTGCTCCAGGTTCCCAATCAGGCGCCGCACCCCCCATCACTCCCTGCTGGTCCCCCCGCCCCCATCCTGAAAACCTCCAGGTCTTGAGTACTACCTTCATCCAGTCTCTGGTAAACACTAACACTCCCCCGGTGCTCCGGGCTCCCAGTACGGGCAGAGCTAACAGGACCAGTGGACAGGACAGCTAACTGAGCTAGCAGCTAGTTAGCTGTTAACTAACTCCAGCAACAAGTAAAGTTATCTGTCCATCAGGAAACTCTGGGAATCACAGAGTTGAGGCAGAGGGACATCAGAGAGAAAACTACAATATATTTTAGTCATATTTCTGATATTTCTCCATTAAATATGATCCAGTTTCACCAAAATCAGTGAATAAAGTTGTTTCTGTGCAGTAATCAGTGGGGCCCGGCCCCAGAAACACTCAGCTGCTTCAGCAGCGTCTGGTTGAGAAATCTTTGCATTGGACGCTAAAATAAGAAGTGCAGAATGAGTCATCGACGTTTTAAAATGACAAACTATTAAATATCATCAACAACACCTACAAAACACATTTTTTGTCACTGATGGGTCAGAAACTGCCACAGTGGTGACATAGTGCAAAGCAAATCATATAAAATCATTTAAACATGGACTTTGGGAATGGAGGATTTTGTTATTGTATGTTCCTCTAAATATCCACGGAGCAGACAACACATCACTGATACTCTCTCTTCTTCATTTGCCAAATAGGCACTGAAGTAATCCAAAAGTAACTCAAAGTAATCAGATTACATTACTTTTATTTTGTGGTACGTTACTGATTACATTTCTAAAGTAACCCTCCTAAGAAAGCCGTCAAGCTGAAGGAGGAGTCCTTTCAGGCTGGTTGGTGGTTGGCCCCGGGGCCTCCTGAAGCAGCAGACATGTTTCATATATACATATATATATCTTGGTGCATTCAGCTCCTGATTTACTGAGGCAGCAGCTCATCAGACTCCGTCATGGCTGCCAGAGACAGTCTGCTGCCATTCTAGCTGCTGAGTGTGAGTCAACCTGGGTACATTACTGTCAGAGATGATGTCATAGATGAAGTCACTGATGGGCTTACCGGAGCAGGTGAGATCCAGGATGGAGGAAGAGGAGTCTGATGATGCACACTCTCTCAGAGCAGATCCAGGCTTAACACATTCAGACCTGATCCACCACACAGGTCTGTCTGAGGACTCCTCTCTCTCTCTCCTACAGAAACAGCAGAGCCACAGTCCAGCTCTCTACAGACACCAGCTGCTGTCTTCAGGGTCCAGACAGAGTAACTCACTGGTCTCCAGTCTCCCTGATGTTTCAGCTCCGGTGTTCCTGCACAGCGACTGGCTCCTCCCACCAACCTGACATCATCAGGCTCTGAACAGAAACCAGAGAGTCATCAGTAAAGAAGTGAATTCAAGAGATTAAACTAAGCCTTGACTGCTGATTCTGCTTCTGTGATTCTTTCCTTCTCTTTTCTTTCTCTCTTTACCTGTTGAGGTGTGATTTCCTTCAGCCTGGAGTCCTGTGATTGGAGCACAGCCGTGGATAGAAAAAACACTATCAGCCCAGAAACATCTCGGTGAACTCCCTCTGAGTCATTTTACCAGTTTACTGTAGGTGAGATGAACATGTGAATACACAGAACAGCAGCCAGCAGACTGGTTTATATAGAGTTAAAGTTCAGCATTCAGTGAAGTATGCTCGCTCAGCTTCACTTTATTCATAGTGCAACATCACAAACTGAGTCTCTGCACACTTTCAGATTAAATTCCACAGATGGAAATGTTTCTACAGCAACAAGAATCAGGTCCCACCCCCTCCTGTCACCTGACTCCCATCTGAAGAAACGACGTGTTACATGATGATATATGATGCTACTGTTAGATTAAGAGTTCACACCTAAAGGTCCGGGTCCTGAATCCAACCAATGAAGATGCTCAGTTCTCCAGCTGGTCCAGTTTGTGTTCACAAAGGCAAAACTCAAACTGTCCAGAAATCGGAAACAGAAGCAGGTGGTGGAAACGCTTTTCCATTATTGGTCATCCAGTCGGCGGGTAAAAAAACAAACCCCTCCAAAGACTGTTGTAGATTTTACATTAACTTACTGGCAGCTGGATGCCAGAAAGTTACTGTAATTTGCAGAATTTAATAATTACAATGAATTATTAATATTTAATAATAATAATAATAATTAATTGCAGTATTTTCATTTACAGTACTTCCATTTACAGGATACTGAGTTTGCATGCCTCTTTATTCCCTTTGAAACAATAGAAGCAATAAAAACACTGTATAGCCACCGTCTCATTGTCTTGTGGTGCAGCCTGTACAGGAACATAACCCTTCTTATCTTCATGGATCCATACTTAGCTTTTAGATGTTCAGATGGGAAAAGATAAAGTCATCAAACCATTTTTAGATTTCTTATTTTACCACTCTGTCACAAACTATCTGTGACTCACAGCACTAGTGCAGGTCTGCTTGATTACGATCACGGCGTACGCTGGTGTCGCTTCAGCCGGGCGGAGCCGATTCACGCCGCAGGCTGACGTTATCAGTTCTACATGTTATCAGTCGTTTTTCACTACGTGACTAAATTGATGTTTCGGCGTGAGAGCGTGTGAAAGTGTCAACAGCGTGAGTCTCACGGTCAATCTGTGAGAGTTAGCAGCTCTGACTGGATGATGTTTTTATGCTCGGTCCTGATTTGCTGCCGAGTCTCTTTCACACTTTGCAGCTACTAAACAAAGCGAATAGAGCACAAATTAAAAAAGTGATTATTGGTATTTATCACTGATAATATTTAGTCAGCGTTCATCTCACTTTGATTTGTCCAGAAACTAAAGTGAAGTCCACGTGTCCTTCATGGTGGGACAGTGTCAGACCTCAGTGCACTTCTTGAGTTTCATGTTTAAATATCAAGTTTACAGTTTAAGAGCTCGATGCGCAGCCGTCACATATAAGCAGGAGACAATCAGAGCGCGTCCAATGCCATTGGTCCATTTTGTGCAGAAGAAGAGTCACATGACACGTCAGACTTTAATGGGAACAATCACAGAGCCTGATGAAGGTAACAAAGATGATCGCTGTGGTGAAACCCGTTATCTCTGACTGCAGTTTAAACCCTTTCACATGACCCCTCTTCCTTTCAGCCTGCAGCTGAGAGAGCGTCTGTATTCCCCTGTTTATTTCTGTTTGTGCATATTAAATACGTTCCTGGGAACCTTTTGCAAGCACAGGTTTCTCGTTTATAACTGTTACTAATTTGCATCATACTTGAATTTAAATCTTTTCTATGAACAATCTCTACTTAATTTAACTTCAGCTTGAAAGCAAATGGAAACACAAATAATCTTTTTAATTTTCTTATTGTAAATAAATTCAGCCGTCAGTTTAAGGTTTCGTCGAGCTGAAGCCAAGAAAGCCTGGATGTGTCCAACCTGCTTCGTAGTACAGCCCTCTGAACACCTGATACACCTGGACACAACTGAACATCTGAGGCTAATGTTTAGCAGCACAAACAGTTTTAGCAGAAAAAGAAGAAGAACAGAAAGGATCGTGCTCCAGCAGCTTCACCGCTTGGACTCCTACTAACTGACTGTTTAAAGTCCTACCTGAGCTCAACAGCAGCAGCAGCACCAACAGGTGATCCATGTCCAGGTAGACCGTCTCTCTGGCCGTCCGCCTGCTCTCTGCTCTGATCATCATGTGCTGTCCTCAGTGTATATCTGCATACAGGAAGAGGTGGAGCTTTACTGGAACACAGCTCATTCAGCTGTCTTTAGTTTCACAGTCAAGAGTCCTCGTCTGAGTCTCTGACACAGGATCAGGGTTTTCTGTCGCCCATGTTTCCAGTTTGACCGGTGGATCAGTCACACTGGTGTCCAGTCTGAGTCCAGTTCTCCCTTTGGACTGTGTGTTTGGTTTCTTTTCTGCACAGCAGAAGTGTTTAACTCCAGCAGGACAAAGAATGAATGTGGAGATTGTCCTGAGCTGACGAGAGTCAGAGTCCCAGTCTGAAGTCTTCTCCCAGTCCGGCTCTGACTGGTTTCCAGTTGGACAGGAAACTGTCTCTCAGTGCAGGGGTGATTTTTGACTCCTGTCCTTCATTTAACCCAGATTCATCACCCAGGTCCCTAAAACCTCTTTGTACAGATTGTGAAGAACAAGCAACCTCGTCTTTTCTGTCCGCTTTGTACGACACCTTCTGCTCTACATGGATCTGATGCCGTCACAGGATTTGAACCAAACTTTATTGAAACGATGCTTCACGTCAAACTGTCGACTTCGTGTCAGTTAAACTTCAACATGTTGCTGAAAAGGTGGATTAAAGGAAATGTTGATGTTGTTTCCTGTTTTATTTTGAAATGTCTCTGCCGTCTGGCTTTATTTCCTGTCTGTGTCTTCCCTGTGATTACCTGATGTGTCTCACCTGTGTTTAATCACCCTGCCACCTTGTGTGTGTGTACAGGTCTCTGTTGTTGGTCCAGTTCTTGGTTGTTCTTGGCTGTTTTCTGGGGATTATTGCATCTGGATTCATCCGGACTTCATTCCTGCCGGCCTCTTCCTCTCAACATGTTTGTGTTTCGGACTCCGCTCCTGGTTTTCCTCTCGCCTGCCTGCCTCATCATCATTGGAAGCTTGTGTTCACCTTGTTTTGACTTAATAAATCATGTTACAGTGAGCTGAGAGTCTGAGCCTGGCTCCTATCCTTTTTACCTGCTGCCACGTTTGACACCACCTGACCTCTGCTCCACCAGGTTCCTCTCTGACGGCAGAACCCGGGGCTTCAAACTGGTTTATACTGGTTGGAAACTGGGTTTAATCTGGTTTTGAAATGGTGTTAAACTGGGTGCACATTTTTTATTTTGGTAAATAAGTTTTGTCCTTCAGGGACGATGTCGACACTCTGTGGTCTGTAGTTAACCTCTCTGAACTGATGAACTGATTACTGACTACAGGCCGGTGTTACCATGGCAACCAGAGCAGGCTGAGGCGTCGCTATCAGATTAAAGCTGTCAGCGTCTTCTTCTTCTTCTTCCTGCTAGATGTGTCTGATCCCACTTCCTGTGTGTTGCTATGGCGATCCAAACAGCACGTGAGCGTCTCAGTGTGCTTGTTTCTCCTTCCTGGTTCAGCTTCCTGTTATTTCTTAGTTCTGATGATTTAGTGAAGTTTTCACATTCGAGGAGGAAAACTGACTCTGAGGAAACGTTTGTTGTTTCCTCCTGTGGGAGCAGTGATGGAAGAAGTACTCACAGCTTTTACTGCAGTAAGAGTACTAATACCACAGTGTACAAATACTCTGCTGCAAGTAAAAGGACTCATTCTGCAGAATAAAATCTATTGTAGGATTCTGATTATTGCTGCGTTCATGTGTTCATCAGGTTCATGTTGCAGCTGGTAAAGGTGCAGCTCATTTTAATGACTTCATCTCCTGCTGGCTGCTTTAACCTGTAATAATACATCATCATTTATTAGCTGCTGATATTTTGTATCTGTAAAGTAACTGGTAACTCCAGCGCTCAGATAAATGGACTGCAGTAGAAGCAGGAAGTAAAGTAGAATCAGCTGAAAGTGGACTTTAATCCAGAACTTGAACATAATGAGCAGCTGGTTGGTTTGAAATCTGCAGACGTTCATATAATGTCCATCCCTGTTAAAGCTGAAGGGAAATAAAAGTCCTGTCTAATAAAAGCTGGAAGAAAAACAATCTTCTGGACTAAATAGAAAACAGGAGGAAATCTCTGGATCTCTGGCTGGAAGAGACGTTTCTGTTCAGACAGTACATATATACAAAAAGCAGCGTACAGAGACTAGAAGTCAGACTGTTCCAGTGGAAACAAGAAGACAAAGTGCAAATCTGCTGCAGGAAACTCTGAGTGCTGCCTTTGTGTAGCTGCAGTAGGTGGATATGTACAGTACATGCATGTGTACAGTATATTCAGCAGCTTTCTCTCTGACGCTGATGTTAAAGCTCAGAGTGGATTTAAACTCTACAGATTGAACGTATATAGTGTCAGATTGTTCCTGACTCGTGACTGCTGTGGGGAGAAGCTGCTCCTGTGTCTTGCTGTTTGGCCCTTCAGAGACCGGTACTGGTAACGCTGCTCGCAGGCTCGCTAGCTAAGTAAATGTTTGGGCATTCAGCCCTCATGGACAGAAGAGTTGGGTTTTGTGTTTCAGAAGGACTGTGCTGTGTTCTTTAAGTCTTAAATGTTGACTGTTAAACGCCATTTGGAGACCAAACAAGGACGTTTAAAAAAGGACGGAGCAGACAGGGCTGAACCTCAAACGTGCCATGTGCAGGTACTGTTGTGTGTGTAAGACAGAGGACCCAAAAGCAACGCTCAGGCGAAACAGGTTTTATTAAGGGAAAAAGGTGTTGAGGAAGTGGAGCTGACAGAGAGGTGGAGCAAGGAGGACAGAGGGGGCTGAGGAAGAGAGGAGGATTGGTGGAGGAGTGTGGTGGCAGGCTGACTGCGAGGCACGAGAGGGAGCCGAGAGGGTGCCATGGAAGACGCCCGAGGGGAGAGGGCAGGTGGGCGAGCCCAGCTGACTCGACGGAGGATAGAGAGATGAGTGAACCTGGGGAGAGGCAGACAGACAGATAGGGTTAGTAACTGGGAAAACAGAATGGGGAACAGAGATGTTGCAAGACCAAAGCTTGAGTCAAGTAGTGGCACCAGGAGCAACGACAATCAAGTGGAGATTGTGTGGAGAACCGGGCTTGATATAGGCTGCTGGCAGGTGTGGCAGGCAGAGGAGGCTGCTGATGAGGTGCAGGTGTGGATCGTCAGCTGGGCTCAGGAGCAGAGAGGGAGAGAGAGAGAACACAAGCAGGGGGAGAGGAGGAGACACAGAGAGGCAGGCAAAACACAGGGGACAACAGAAAGAAAGGAGAGCAAAATATATGTTCAAGTATTCAACATGCTTTTTTGATCACACACAACCACTAACACACACACACATTTAAAGCACCCGCCCCCCATAATAAGTATCACCAGCCACCACTGCCAGGGTATACAGAGAAACTGTTTGGAGTTAGTGATCAATCCTGAGCTCCATTAGTGCCTCTAAATTATTTTGGAAGTAGAATTCTGTTTCATCTGTCTGTCCTGTCATGTTTATAACTGCAGTTTTTAGTTTTGCTGCATAAATGTCCAAGGGTGTTTGCTGAGACATTATTGCACCCATGGAAACGTTTAAATGACAGCATCCTCTCTAATCATGTTAGACAAAACACTCACACATGCATCAACAGAATAAAGAAATCACCTGGAGAGTTAAAAGGGCCGGTAGAGGTGGGATAAATCTGAGAAAATCATTAGTTGGGTTGAGTGCAGGTGGATGATTTATGCCCACATGATTATTCAGATACTGTCAGAGCCGATCCGCATCACACCAGTGTAGCTCCCTATAATCCTGACAAAACAGCGCAAACAGCTGCTGACGTCAAATTAGTAGGCTGCAATATCAACCAGAGCATTCAGCACTAACCTGCTGTATTTTATGTTGCCGTTTAGTAACAATAGTGCCCATCATGTAGTCCTCCCTGTCAATAAGGGGCGCTGCAGCACCCTCCGCAAACCCCTTCACGCTTGTAGACTAAGTAATAGGCTATTTTCCACCTTGCCATGGCCAGGTCTGGGTATCTCTGGATAATCCGTAATTTGTTTGTAATACTAAAACAAAAATACCGTTTATCTGTTTTTTGTTTCAAAACGAAAAACCAAATAACCGTATTTGGTGTCAGAATCAAAAAACGAAAAGCCAACACGTTTTTTGGTGATTTGATTTTATTGTTATTCCTTTTTGAACAAAGAATGAAGAGAGTCTGTGAACTTCAGTCAATTCGTTTCTCGTTATAAACCAAAAACAGAAGTCACGTGGTCTATTCCTTTTTTGGAAGGATAGTAAAACTTCAAAATAAAAGTAGCCCATGTACCATGTAATTAGAAAGGTGATTTTAAACTAAAACAACGTTTTTTTAGTAAAACTAAAGTAGCACTGGGTGTAAAAAAACACTTTAGTTAACTGAAATAAAAACAGTAACTAATAAAATAATAACTGTTGGGCTGTTGGGGAGAATGAAACATTTGTAAGACCATTGCTGACCTGTAACTTCAGATTAAGACAAGTGAACTAATGTTATATGTAGTAGTATATGTGTGTGTAGACAGCAGTTAGCCTGTTTATTTAAGTTTATATTATTTAATTCATATTTTAGTTTCCTAACATCTTTATAGGCCTTCTTGCTGTGTGGGAGCTCAACCAGCAGAGGTCACTCTGCCCCCTTCTGTGGCGGCAGGTTTTGACCTTTTGACTTGTGTTTCTATCACAGAGAAGGCTGCACTGCTACCAGAGGAAGCTGATCACTGAGTTTGAAGGGTGTGCAGAACTTCACCTGCCTCCAGCTTCTCTTTCTGTGCTGCTATAGCTGCTAAAAACTCTCATCTACTGCTATGTGTCAAAACAAAACTCTTCCAGAACAAATCTGTGGAGTTGTAAACTTTTTATTTTTCTCCAGTGTAATATACTTATGTTAGTTAAATATTTTAATACAGCCTGTAGTTCTCATAAGTTATGTAGGCCTAGTTATGTGTGAAACCTGGTGAGCATTAACAGCTCCCGGGCTTTCAGATCTTTAAATGCTTTTTTGGCTTTAATTCTGTTTGATGAACCACCAGATAAAGTCCATGCTCTGTCCTGTTTGTACTTGTGTAAAGTAAAATAAAAGTGAAGTTGAGTCATTTAGTTTTTCTCCCTGTACATCTCAGGACCTCCCAGATTTGCCCCAATACCTGTGCAGGTTTAAGGACCGATGACTGTAATCAAGGCTGGTCCCATCACCTACCATCACTCTGTTCAGATAAATGCTGGCAGGACAAAGCGGAACACCACTCCTTCCTCCAGCACCAGAAAAGGACCTGTTGGCACTTTCAGATATTTACATCATGATTTACGGGAACCAAACCTTGTAATTGTAGCACTGTTTTTGTAAATAAGGATGATGTCAACTTCTGTCTTTTAATACACATTTATATCATATACAGCAGGCTAGTATGTACAACAGTACAGTGAAGCAGTACAGTGAAGCAGGGCTCTGCAGTGCAACTCTTTCACTCACATATGCCCTTAAATGATTTACAAGCACAGTGGGTGAGTGAAGACTAAAACCTACTGTAAATAAAGTTAGGGTTATTATATACCAATAGTCATTTATTCTAGTTCCTCCTCCAGGCTGTGGTCAGAGCCTCTGCAGTGGACAGATGTAGATTTAGTTAAAAGGCCCATGTCGAACGTTCAGATCAAACAGTCTTCACATCATAAGACGGTCACTGCACGCGAGGAGAAGGAGCTCAGGCTGATTATAGTTAGCTGTATAAATAGTTAAATGAATTCTGTGCTACTTCAACATTTTTGGACTACTGTCCTCCTTAGAAAGGTTAGCATAGCACTACAAGCAAATAAGCAAGCTTGGAAACAGATCCATGATATAATCTCTTATTAACCCATGGGATTCATTTGTTTATTTTTACAGAGCATCTCTTTACCAGAGAGACGTGCGTTTCGACTGGAAAGGTGATTTATGAAACATGAACATTTAAAGATCAGGTTTTAGACAGTTTTATTAACACAAGCTCAAACAATAAATCAACAAGATGTTAAGGCCAATGCTGCAGAGATGCTAAAG